TCAGTTTAGTCACATACTTGTTATAAAAAGAAAATTTAAATTAGAATACGTAGCCTTTTCATCGACTTATTTGAGGTTTGAGGTATGCGTTGTATTTTCGAGTTATCAATAATATAGTCAAACCAAAGTGTAATAATACATGAAGTACTATATATAATGTAATATCTACTATTTTGTGGATTTCTCTATCTATGGGGAGATCTGTGGTGATCAGAGGATCTTGGTAGTTTTGAACATGAGTAAGAACATAAATTTAGGGGGTGGAATAAATAAGTAGCAATATCAATAGAATGGTTTCCAGAATATGAGGACATGTATTATGTTTTTTTTATTATCTAACAATTAGTGATACCATTAAGAATAGAGAAAACTTGAACTCGCGATGAGATCATAATGCATAAGCAAAGAACGTCTCATTATAAAATGAATTGGGAAAAGGATATAACTACATATCAAACCTATTATTTAGTGAAAAAATAAATCCATGATAAAGAAGTTAAATAAATATAATCATGAAGGAACAAAGTAGAAGGTTTTATATATATGAAAGAGAGATAGAGATTGAAAAATATATTATAATACATTACGACGAAAACCACAAGCAGAAGAGATATGATATATGCTTTGGAAATTAGAGATCCCAAAGTTATTAAACTACTTAATGTTACAAATGACCATTAATCCTGATAATATATTAAATTCTATAGAACAAAGGACAAATGATGAAGGTTTTCACCAAATATTTAGTGTGTTTATAATGAGAATTGAAAAGCAAACATAAAACATCACAAAATCCTCTAAAAACACCTAAGTTTGGTAGAAAAGGGAAGAGAGGGTTTATTACAAGCGTCCCATAGATGGCGGTTTACTTTTATCTCTATATGTAAATGAATTGGAGTACATTGGATCAAAGAGTAAAATAGTGTATTTAATACATAGCCTAGTAAAGTACACTTCTCCACCTTCCCAAATATTTTTTAGGACATATAATTGAAGGAAAAAAGAATGAGCTCGATATTATATTAAGAACATATATAACCTTTATGTTTACCGTGGTGAGAGGTGTCAAAATGTCATTTTCAGACCGTTTGATTTGCTTGTAACCACTTCTCCCAAACCAGAGAATAGAAGATGAATGTCCAGCCCCAATCCATTGTATCCAACAGTGTCCTCCCCCATATGGATAAATAAAATATAAAATAAAATACCATTTTAGTAACTTCCATCGGAGGTAATTTGCCCATTTAAGGAGATTTAATTGGATTGAGGGGCTGCGGCAAAGCAAACAGATTCCTATCCACGACTAAAAACAAACAAAATCATAGCTTGGCAGTCAGATATGAGACTATGTTTGTTATTCGAGCTCGCTATGCGTGTTGAGTGTACAATAAATGTTAAATTTTTGTTTTAAGGTGCAGAACAATGGTCAGTCCGAGCAACACATTAATGCGTGAGTATATAAATACATGTTGGAAAATCACCTTCCCCTTATTACATACCAAACACCACAATCATATAAACAAATAACCGTGATGATCCACGCCATTGTTGATGGATTTTGTGATCTATTTTGAGTTCTCACTTTAAAAACATACAAATGAATATTAAAGGTAGTACTATTATAAATTATTATAAGGTGCACTGATAAGATAACTATTAATTCTTACTTAGCTAACATTTCATATATATATAGAATAGGCCGGCAACCTGATATGAATATAGAGTATGTGAGTCGACAGGATCAGAATTATATAGCACTCTCTCAGCAGTGTCTCTGAACACAGAACAAGGTATAGAAACATATAACACATAGCAGACTATAAAGATTTGAGAGAGTATGAAAATACTTAAAAAGTAAATACACTAGTAGAGACCCTTTCTAAAATCTCTAAATAATGCATCTACACACGTATTGAAAAAAACATCATCTAATAATTGTAAGCTGGGTAGAAGTTAGATAGATTGTGTGGAGATCGCGTGAGTGCATTCGATCATTCACCACCTCGCGACTAGAGGTGTTTTTCTATAATAAAGTTCTGAGATCTCTCTCGTTGAAAAGCAGATATTCGGAACGCTTCGTGCAAAAGATATATAAATGTATCTCAGTTGAGAGATGCTACGGTCTGAATTCTCGTTTAGATATTTTTTAAAGATAATAATCTTTCACTGATTCCAGAGAGTTCTCTACGGTCACATGCTCTCTACAAGGTCAACCTTTAATTTACGCACATAAAAAGAACTAAGGGATTGTAACATAATATATATTTGGTAAAATATCTGACTTAAAGAAATTAAGGTGATTTAAGTTACATTGATGTAAGTAGAGAAATTAGAATTAAAATCATGGACAAAGATTACTACGAGAAAACGTAAATCTCTAACAGCATAAAACATGAACATCATAATTGACCGAAGAAAAACTCTGTATCATCGTGATTTTGTAAATATACAAAAATATGAGAACCCGAAAACAGAATATTTGTGACTCATGTGAAGTCATTCTTTAAGTTACAATGGCTTACGAAAAATATTAGTTTAAAAATATAAGCATAATTGAATTTAACTACAAACAATTTATCATAAGATTCACTCATTGTGGTGACCAGGTAAGTGTTCTAACCCTCTACTACGTATACTGGACGTAGCTATTATTATTAAAATCTATTTTGCAATTATCAATAAAATGAACATGTCATATTGGAGTGAAATCAAATTTTTATAAGAATTTATCTATTATGTATCTTGCGAAATGTGTAGTTTTAGACCATGTAATAAAAATAAATTACAAGGTTTTTTAATCTTTTGGTTCTAACTTTTAATTAACTAACACCTTTTGCTCAAAAATAAGATATTCGTAGAAACACTAAAAATAAGTATATTTTTTTATCTTAAATTTAAATTTCTGATAATATATTATTAAACAGATGTAGTAAAAAGTTTAATAGATTTCTCCAACATGCCACATGTAATATTCCATATAAAAGAATTTATGTGATTTATAAGTTTATTATATTCACATTTAAAGCAATAGTATCATTTTATAATTTTTTTTTTTAAAACATTATTTCATCCCTATAAATATTTCTCTCATGCGCACTTATGCTATTCTTATTCCACCATACCACCACCCCCGGACAACACCACACACATTTCTCTCACCTTATCTCCCGGTCATGGAGCTGGAAACAGAAAAGAAAAAGGAGAAAAAAAATTATTTATATTTTACTCACATTTTTCTTGTTTTTTTAAATCTCTATTTGTATTCATTATCTTAACACATCCGAAGTAAATTATGTTTTCTCTCTCAACTACCTAATAAAGATAAATTATGTAGAATTTTCTACTATGTTATTAATTGAGAGTATCATATGAAAATCTCACACTATTTAATACTTAATGCGAATGCCCATCCATTCCAAAATATATATCTAATATAAAATATACCTTGTTTAGAATCTGTCATACTTAATCAAGATCGATGAAATAAAAAATATAAAAACAAATAAATATATGCGCACATGGAAAAAAAATAAAATTTACGTAATTCATCTCAAACTAAATATACGTCCACAACTGTTACAACTGTTATGACGTCAAACAGTTACGATAACACTTTCAAGGGTTGAGAAGGATGCATTACGGAAACAATGTCTGCTGAAATTGATGAATGGTTTTCAAAGGATTTATACGGATAGAATTTCAATATAAGTAACAGTAGTAGTATTAATGATAATATTCATCATCATCATTATCGAATCTGATCAAACAAACCTCTACACTGTGGATAGGGAAATGAAATTACTTGATTTATTTGGTAGTTATGGAAAATATAAAAGAAAACAATAAGTAAATCAATGAGGAAACATGATAAGATCAGGGAAATCAATTTTCTATTTAAAATATATGTAGTGCTCCAACTTAATTTCATTAGTGGAAAAACTCCTTCAGATCTACTTTCTAGGGAGAGGAGGGCGCTTCACCATCCTATCTCCTCTGTTTCTTCTTCGGTAGTATTCTCATCGCTATTTTTTCTTTTAATGTTATGTTTGGTCGGGAGATTTGATGAGAAATTTGAAAAGAAAAATAAAAAAAATAGGTAAAATATGAATAAAATATACTTACATTTCACCTAATTTTATATACCTTTTTCTTTTTTCTTTCTAAATTCCTTCTCAAATCACTCAATCAAACAAGTGTAAATCTATTTTTTGTTTTCTTCATATTCATCACTATCCTGCCCACTAATGCTCCTATCATGTCTCCATCATCGGTCTGCTATTAAAAAAAATTCAAATCTAGGCTCAGATCTAGCTTATCATTTGTTTTTTTATAAGCTAAACAACTATTTCAAATTTAAAACAATTTATTTTATAACGTAGACAATGTCATATTACAAAGGTGTTTGGTGGTGATTATTTTTGTTCTATAATTTTTTTGGTGGTGTCTGTTTATATTGTAATAATGTCTCTTTACGTAGAGATTTCCTTCTCATGGGGATTTTTTTTATTTTTTTTCATATGAAGATTGTTATATATCCTCCTTCCATATATAGACTCTTCATATTTTTTTGGAATCCCTCTTGTATTTGATTTACTTTATTAGACGATTTATTATCTGTCTAATATATATTGTATTAAGTGGTTGTTTGGCATGTGCTAAAATAGGACATGCTATTTTAGCACATTATCCTATTTAGGTCACAATGTCTTATTTAAGTTACATCATCTCTCTACCACATTACTTCAAACTTAACTCATATTTCACTTTTTTTCATAAAAAGTCAGAAGGAATACTAATTTAACACTTCCCAAACAATCTCTAAGTCTTGTGCTTTCGGATTTAAAAAAAAAACTTAAGTAATACTCAAATATCACCAAATAATTGCTTGTGGCATAAGACATTAGCTCGCCACCTTGAGCTTTTATCACACGCTATGCAATATATATATATATATATATAGGGAGAGAGAGAGAGAGAGAGAGAAGCATCTCTGTCTTGAAGAAACCAAGTTGCAAATTGTGATAAAAGTAAAAGTGGAGGAGGAAGGAAAATAAATAGCAAGAGGGGCAAGTTATCAAAAGCAGAAAAATAAGTTCATCAACTTTTCTGATTCTTTTCATTTCATTTCATTTATTGAAAAATTTCTTCATATATTCCACCATCTCTCTCCAATGTTTTCTTATATCCAAGTCCAAATTCGAAAGAATTTGGCCTTCTCTAAAGCTTGCTATATAGTTAGCCGTCCGCAAAAAGTACTTCACCATCATCATCATCATGTTTGGTTGGTGTTTTGGGCGAACACAAATATCAAATGCCATGTCTGTGAGTACCATTCTCGTTCTTTCACCTACTTCCATATTCTGATCTCTTCATTTGTTTAGGCAAAAAAAATAATTTTTAGAAAACGTTTTCTGTTTTTAATTGGAATAAAAAAAATTAATATGCTAGTAATCGTAATAATAGTAGTGGCAATGATGATAGAGCAACAGTGATAATTTTGGTGCAGTGGTGGTGGGGGTGGTGATAATAAGTGGTGATGGATAGTATGGTAGTATTGCTAAGAATTTAGTTAAGAAAACGATTTTTACATTTTAAAAAAGACAAAAATCTTCCGCCCAAATATCTTATTTTTCATTAATTATGAAAAATATGTTTTTTTATTTTTTTAATTTTAATCTTTTTCTGTGTGTGTTGATTTTTACATTTCATTATACCAAATAGTCAAAATAAATTGACATCTAATATGTATCACATTTTTGGTTTAATAGATTGTGGAGCTTTTGGTACATATGGACTGTGACGGATGTGAAAAAAGAGTACGAAAGGCAATCACTAAATTAGATGGCAAGAAGAGTACTTCACATTTATTTAATAATATTATATTATTATTTTCTATTGCTTCAATTCATTTCCTTATTTTATGATTTGGAGAATTCTATCATACATACCTTTTATCATATACTTCATTTTATAGGCTCTCAATATATATCATCCATAGAAGAAAAAGAAAAAAAGATCAGAAATGATAGAGATTCTTTTTTTTTTTTTTGACCCCCACAACCCTCACAGACACATGTCATTGAGTGATGAGAGGGAAAAAAAAAACAAAAAGCAAAAAGTTGACCAATCTCAATACAGTGAGAGTGGCAAGCGTCAAGGAAAAAAGGGGTCTCAACCTTTTTCCAAAAAAAATTAATCGATCTGATAATCATAACATTTTCATTTTATCATGTTTGCCTCAAAAAAAATAAAAAATAAAAAATAAAATTGTCAACAAATATATTTTTGAAAATAAGCCATCTATTTTTTCGAAAACAAATATGATAAAATAGAAATGCTACGATTGTCGAATTTGCTAAATTTTTCAATGGATAATATATATAGAGAATCTTACAAAATGAGCATTTCAAATCATCAAAATCGGACCCATAGTGGGTTCATGAGCCTTTCAAGTTTTGCCAAGTTGAGATATATACTTCAAAGAAATCAAACCCTTCTAGTTCTTCTCAGTAGGGGTGAGCATGTTTCGGTTTGGTTCAATTTTGAAGTAGACGAAGACCAAATCACTATGTGTGATTCTATGAAATTTGGAACTAATCCGAACCATGAAAAATTTAAATCAAACTAAACCAAACTATAAAACACAGTTCGGTTTGATTTGACATCACGATTTTCTTGAAGTTTGTCATTAGTCACAACATAATCTCAACTTGGTCAAAAATCAAATAATATATCATCATTTTACAACGAAAAAAAAAAAGAAGAAAAAGAAGAAGTTTAAAACTAATTCTACTATTATACAGTAACACACTCTTTTTTTTTTTACCAGCGAAAGTTATAATTGTTGGTTATTAAATTAACACTTATGGAAGCTATCCTCTACACCCTTACAAAGTACTAAATATTTGTTTCTTAATTCAACTCCCTTTTATGGAAAGTCGAACCCATGACCTTCTCCTTAGGACTAAGCCCTTAGGAGAGTCATAGTGACCAACTAAGCTAAACTTAGTTGGTTTACAA